CCGACACGTCGTTGCCTTACACTTCGACTTCCAGCCATACCTGTAATGGAAGGGAGCCGCCGTTCGTTCGTTAGTTCATCCCGCTCGTTCGCTCGCTCGCTCTGGGTCAGTTTGTTCACTAGGCCAGTCCGTTCAGTCACCCATAGTCCGTTCGTTCAGTTAGTTATGCGTAGTGGCCCAGCCGCTGGTTGCAAAGAGTCGTGCTTCGAATCCGGGAGGCCACCATGGTTAACACTGCGGTGTGTATTAACCCCCGACAATACTACGAAGCGTCGTCAAATTCACTCGCAGTGCGTTAGTGTGCGCTGGTGTCATGGTCCACATTTAAAACAAAAATCGCACCGCAAATGACTCCTTTGAGATCCCACAGCAGCAGCCGTCTCCCCCCTCGACTGGCAGACCGATACTCGCTCAGAGCGCCCGGTGCCTCACAGAGACAGCTACTACTGGGGGTGCCCCCTTGCAATGGCGTTGACATGCGATGCAAGTCTCTTATCGCACGGGAAGCTCCCTGAGACTCCCCAGTGTTGTATCACAACTAGAGGCCGACCGAAATCCGATTTCGGTTTCGGCGCCAAAAGTTGGAAAATGGCCTCTTTCGGCGTAGTTTTAGTTTGGGACGAAAGTACATTTTTTACTTTCAGTTGACTTTCGGTTTCAGACGAAACCAGAAATTCAGTTTCGGTCGGCCTCTACACAAAACTCAAACTCACGGTTTATTCGCACGCACACACTAATACATGTACAGCCCTTTGTCAATCCACTGCTGTATGAAGACATCCTCACGTCGCATTGAGTCATGCGGGTTCTTTGACCATACTTCAACACCCTGGTCAGTGCGAGGACTGGTTCAGGTATCACTCGTCACTGATGTTAGCCGTGGCAGGGAATTTAACTTAACTCGTTTGTGGTCTTAAGGTAGCACATGAACCACCGTGCCACCTTGACGCTTCTGATGATCATGCAGATGATGACGCTGATAATTATGCCGACAATGATTTGGCTGATAACGCCGATGATGACGACGCTGATGATTATGATTCCGCTGATGACGATGAGGATGATGCCGATGTGGATGATGCTGGCGAAGCTGCCGATGCTTATGACGATGATCCCGATGACGATGATGCCGATTCGTGGTGAGCCGTGCCATGTCCTGCTGCTGCGTGTGTCGTGGCTACGCACCAGGCATTCAGTCCCTGCTGCTTGAGAATCAACTTGGCGCAGGCGACGGACTTCGTGATGTTGTCTCCAAGGAGCTCTGTGAACAACAGCGACAATGTTTAGAAGGAGCAGCAGAGCGGTGGCAGAGATGCAGAGAGTGGCACCGCTGAGCTCCTGGGTTCCAACGCGGGTGTTAGGTGCTGATGCTGATTACACCGGCAATTTTCAGTTTCATGTATTAGTGTTCTGCCTCACGGCAGGGTTTTGCCTCACGGCAGATGGGGTGGGGGTGTATGTACACAGAAATTTCCTGTTTTTGATGCTAAGTTTGGTCACGTGACCAGGAAGTTGCAATTTAAGATTCCCGCTCAACCACGCGGGCGCCGGCCATTACACACGTAATTCAAGATGGCGGCACACATCACGTCCCAGTGAAGCCAGCCGCAACTGTTCATTGTGGGAGCTTAAGAAGCATTGTCTGTAAGTTCGTTTATGTTCTTATAATATTGGCAATGCTGTTATAATGTTAGAATGATCGTTATAATGATGTAAATGCCTTTATAATGATGTTAAATTGTTATGATAAATACGAGGCCTAGTTAACAACGAAGCCTGCAACTTTTCCTATTGTGAATGTTACTTGTAATTTAATAAGTCGAGTCAAACTTGTACCCAAGTAACTATATTGCGATCCTGAGAGCGAGGATGACGAAATATCTCTTCCACAATTTAGTGTTGTGTAATACTGTACATTTGGGGTGCAGTGTGATGAATACACGATGTGCCTTTATGTAACACAGCCGCTTATGCTCTTGTATAGTTATTCAGTGGTAATGTAGGGGCCTGGTCCAATCCAGGGTCTATTGTTGAGAAACATGTTATCTAAGACAATGTTCTGATGCTGTGGTGTTCATTCATTATGTTGGTGTTTCCTGGTTATAACAGATGCCGTATCTGTGCTGTTTTCTCACCAGTTTTACCTCGTTAAAATCAATAAATGACGTTTTGGAGTCGGATGTTCACCCTGGCTCTGAGGGTTTATTGGACGCGAGGTTATCTACTCAGCTATCGGTGCAACGCAGTGCACAGCCGAGACAATTAGGTATGACCCTGTGAGCCATTCTGCTCTTGACTCGGGTGCAACCGCAACAAACAAAAACATGAACGAGAAACATCTTAAAGTGACGACACGCAACAGAAAAATCCAGGAAAAAAACAGCAAAGTCTTCCAAATCTGCTTTCAGATTTGCTCTATCACATCTCATTTTTATGCTATCGGCATACCCATTTTAATTTATTTTACCAGAAATTAACTCTGTCACTAATGATTGCAAGTTGTTGCGAGTCAGTAACTGCTTTAGTGTTAAAATATGGTGCTGTATTTTTAGGATAGTGTGTTTATAATATCATTTTATGTAGATGTGATAGACAAAAACTGATGCCAGATTTGGAATCAGCACCCCAAAATTACCTTAAACCCGTTGGAATACCTTATGCCAGAAAAAGTCTGTTGACCATTGTAATGAAGACAATGACGAGTACAATGGCAATGATGACGATTATGATGACGGTAATGAAGACAATGGCGATGACGATTATGATGACGGTAATGAAGACAATGGCAATGATGACGATTATGATGACGGTAATGAAGACAATGGCGATGACGACGACTGAAGGAGGACGTCACCGGAGCACTTGACTTGGCACGCGTTGTGCCCATTGGTGCCGTTGTCGCACCACCAGTTGCTGTTGATCTGGAAGATGCCGTAGTCGGTGGAGTCGTTGGAGTTGACGTGTGTTTTTTTCGTGTTCCGGCTGCTCTCGGCCTCAGCCAAACACACCCCTGGGCACCAAACACAAACATCACCCCCGCCACGCAAAGCCTTTAGCAGATCAGCAGCGCCTGCGAGGTGCGGCACCGTGGCACACGAGGGAGTGGGTGGCCTGCACCACGCCCGGCCGCCTTTGTCTCCACAGTGGCGATGTTTAAACACCGCGCCAGTACTCATTTGAGGTTGAGTCGACCTAGGGGAGAACCAGGACCGGTTCAGATAACCACCAGTGGTGTTGGCCACGAGCGGGAATCGAACTCAGGTCGTCGGATTCGTAGCGCAGCGTAGTGCTAACCGCCACACCGCGCTCACCACCACCGCCGCCAGCGACTGAACCACAACATCCTCCCAGGGGTGAGCTTCCACACAGCGCTTGGGAGAGACCCGCTGCCCCGTGTCACGCACGGACTGCGGGCGACCGTCTGATCTCTGATCTGGTTCGCTGCGAAATCTGGCCGTGAGAGTATCTCTCTAACTCACCCGTGGTGAGCGAGTGGGTGGGCGAGTGGGTGGGTGAGCGAGTGGGTGGGTGAGCGAGCGAGTGGGTGAATGGCTGGGTGACGCCTGTATATGTGGAGTTTGCGTGTCTCGCTCTCTCCCCGTTGTCGAGAGGAGTTTTCTCCGGGGTCCTTCGGGTTCCCCTCCACGTTTAGAATCAACATCACGTGTTTAGAGTATTTCGCTGCCATAAATGTACACACAATAAGCCACTTCGTTCAACTATCATCTGTGGGCAGGTCGCTTCTGAAAAAGAGCTACATATCTCAGTCGGCCTTAGCTGGTAAAATTAATATCATAGTTTAGTTTATAAATTGGCCCGTGAATAGTTCCACGAATAGTGGCGACTGAGCAAGACAAAGCACTTCAATGATCACAACGTATTTGCTGCTAATTAATCAACGCATTTACATTGAAAAGGCATAATTATTCAATGGTGCTGGCACACTGCATTGTGGGCCCTTCAATTACCATCGCAGTCGATAACCATCCCAATTAGTTACCACCCAATCAATGACCATCTCAATCAATTAGCATCTCGTTAAGTCACCATCTGGATGATTTACCGTCCCACACAATTACCATCTCAACCAAACGAATGCAAATGCCCGACGGAACGTGCAAAAGTGAGGCCGAAAACAAAGAGACACTGGTGGCGGATTGAACAAAAAAAAACCTGGGATTTTGATGGCGACCGTCAGAACAGCAGCAACAACAACCACCACAAAACAACCCCAGATCCTCGATCAACGCCCGTCTCTGGCTCGGAATGTTGGTAGTGGAGGTGTGTGGGTGAAGCTCTCACAGTCGCCCAGGCTGGCTGTCTCCACTCCCATGTCGCGCAGGGCCTTCGCGAGCTCGCATCGTGCGAACACTTTGGCACGCGTGCAGGGGACGACGCAGAGAGACGCCGCCAGCACGAACATCGCGAACGAGCGAAGCGACATCGCGAGAGATTTTTTTCGTTTTCTCCACCACGGTCGCTCCCCGCTCTCGTTCTGCCTCTCGCTGTTCAGCCCGCACCCGGCTTTTATAGCCCCCCACCACCGCAGCTCGCACCCCCGCAACTGCTCGCCTCGCAGCGAGATAACGATCACGCTTCTCACAAGACAAGTCGTGGCTTGCGTGTGGGCGTGCGGGACGAGCGGTGGTGCAGTGGTTAGCGCTGCACTGCGCTACGAACCCTGGTGACCCGAGTTCAGGTTTCTAGCTCACGGCCACCAACCCAGTGATGATTATCTCAAATCGGCCCCGTGGCCTCCCTCTAGGACGACTCAGTCTGAAACGAGTACCTGGTGCGATGCGTAAAACATCGCCACTGGGGAGACAAAGGCGGGCGAGCGCGGTGGTGGCCACCCACCCCTTCGGCTGCCAAGTCGTCGCCCATAGTTGGTCGTTAACAGCACTTGCCCCAAAATTCTGTTGACGTAATACACTGTAAAAACGAGACTGGGGTTAATTAATGTTTAGTAAATATATAAGAGTAGCCTATACATAAAAATAATGACTATGTGTAGTTTGGAATCACATTGAGCTGAATTCAACACATTTCTATTAGTTATTAATTGTATTTTACTCAGTTTTGTTCGAATAAAATCAGCCATCAATAACTAAGTAGAATTTAATTGTATTTTATCAGGAAAGTCAAAAATGCAAAAAATTGATTAATTTTACTAATCGGGAGGTTTTTGAATTTAATAACGTTACACTTCCGCCCCAACTCGAGGCATTTTTTCGCGCCACGTGCATGTCAACCATCTTCTTCCACAGACACGTTTCAGGAACCGCCGTTCTCCCAAAGGTAAGACATGTTTAATTATTTTAGCGAACAATTTTTTAACAAAGGTGTGGTAGCAGTTGAACATTGTTTTATGTTACTGCATGTTACCAGCATGCCAATTTAACTGGCTGTAACGTATATCAGAATTAACTAGCACAACGTTAGGCCTTTGGAAGTCAGTCTGATTCGACTAAAAGCACGAGACTATAATTTTTGTTCCGCACACGAAAAAGTAACGTGCGTGATTAAAACTAGACTATATTCATTCGGATCACAGCGTGTACCGAACCAAAAGTCCTGTACCTGCCGTTACACCTCCAGTATATTATATCTTAGTGTTGATGTACGTGTAATAAAAGACTCGACCACGATGTCTGGCTTGGTATCCTTTATTCGGTTCGTGCTGTCTCCCACACGGCTGTCCTCCCTTGAGACCTTCCACACGGTGCCGACTCTGTTGTTACGCCCGTCACCACTAACAGCCCCGCTGTTGGTCTCCGACGCTCCCGTAGCCTCTTAGCAGCCTCGCTGCTGTTACTCTCACGCAGCCCCCCTTGGCCGTACTCACTGCAGCTCCTCCTCGTGTCGCTCCCGTAGCTCCTAGCAGCCTTGCTGCTGTCTCCCATACACAGCCTTCCTGGCTGTACTCGCTGCAGCTCCTCTACCGCTCTCCCTCTCCAGCAGCCCCACTGCTGTCTCCTCCTCGCAGCTCCGCTGACTGCTCCCGGGTTGGCCACCGCTGGCCGACGGTGCCACCCCTCTGGTTTCACCCTGCGTGGCCTTACTCTTGCTCAGTCTCCCACTCTCTCTCGTCTCCTTCCGGTTTCACCCCTTAAGGACCCGAACCTTCTCCCACGTCACATAACTCCACCTCTCCGTGACGTCACATCCGGAGGGTCGCTTACGCCCGCATTACACCAACCTCCCCCGTGGAGAAAAACCCAGCCGACCTCGGCTGAACAATACCAACAGTAATGCGGGCG